CTCGGCGCCCGGGCCTCGCCCCAGCCCACAGGTGCGCGGCCGGGCCCGGCGAGCGAACCCGGTTGCTGGAAGCCAAAGGGAAGCTCTGCGCGTTCGGATGGGAACGGCGTTCGAGAGGGATTTGTAGGTCGAAGAGGCAAACAGACGAGAGCGTGGCTCCATCTGCGTAAAATGTTACGGTGGGGAAGATGTAAGTCGGCATCTTTACTTTTAGATACACAGAATACTCTGGCGAGATACACGAGAAACGAATGCTTCAGTCGATTCATGGAGGAAGGGTACGTGGCCGGGAACAAGAGTGACACGGTTTCAGAAGATACAACGTATGACCCCTGTATCTTTTGAACTTTGAACCAAGTGAAAATGTCTTTTCGAGAAGTAAACACTGTATACGCCTCCGTTTCCCACTCATGTTGGCATCCATACGCTGATAAACCCCAGCACACACGGATGCTTGGTCCCCGGCTGCTACTCTCAACAGTTTTGCCAGGCAGGTATTTTTTGGTGGACTAGTGTAGCTTTTTATTACTATCGAGTTGGTTTTATTAAACAAATACCTGAAAGGGCTAAACAAAAGCAAATGCTTCCAAAAGTCTGACCATGAAAACAGCACCCCTGTCTTGTACTTAGCAGAGGCAAGCGCGGTTCGTTTTCTTCGTTTTTCTGTCTGTAGTTACCTTCAGGCTTCTTTTTTTCCAAATTGTTGGTGTTTGGGATGTTGTTTTATTTTTTTCAAGCAAGTGCATGTATTCATGCACATAATTTTGAAAAGCACCTTAAAGCTTTTTCAAAAATCCTAACAGTTGCCTGCCCCACCCTTGCCAATTCTCCAGAGCAGCGACTTTTAACTCTTATAGCAATTTCTTCTGCCATTTTTTCCCTTACACCATTACTTACATCATTGTCTGATTTATTATTTTATATATGTGGGGGCTAAAGCCTCTCTACCTGGATGCTAATCCACCCTGTTGACTTCTGATTCCAGGGAGGCCTCTAAGATTTCTACACCATCCTCTGTTATGTAAATGCTGCCCCTAGGCCAAAACAACCCAACCATAAATCAAGCAATTCACTTAACACCCCTGACCCCTGACTTTCCCTGAGAAATCAACTTCCATTGTTCTTTCAGGCCGTTTCCCGGGTTAAATAAGCCCTGGGTTTGGTGGGGGGTGGCATCGGGTCTACCAGTCCTCTCACCACCGCAACAAAATTTAAGACTAAGATATGTCTAAAGGTCTCTTCCTGAGAAACTGGACGTGTTGGCCTGTCTCTTGGGCCTCTCAGTTTCCATGCTTTGGGGGAAGGTTGCATGCTCCTTGTCTCATGATTTTCTGATAAGACACATGCAGGTTTAACTCTTGCGTCACCACGGTCTTCCCTTTCTGTATTGTCCCAAAACAGTTGCCAGACTTAGGGGTTAAGCAGTCCTCACATCATTGTGACCATGTACATATTACACACTGTTGAGGAAAATAGCATGCTTTTACTTCCTATCTTGTCCTTTTTTTTTTCTTTTTCCTGGAATTTTAATGATTGCCTAACCATGCCCACCCCATTTTTTGGACATTTGTGTTATCTTCAGTGAACTTACTTCTTTCCAAATATATTAATAAGCTATACCACCACAGAAGAGGTCTTGCTGTGGTGTTCAGGCTGGCCTCAAACGCCTGGCCTCTGAGGAGCTGGAACTACAGGTACCTCCATGCCCACTCAACCTATTAATACTTTTTTTTTTCCCCCGAGTTGGAGTCTCACTCTGTCACCCAGACTGGAGTGCAGTGGCTGCTCCCGGCCACCGCTGGGCTCCAGCGATCCTTCCACCTCAGCCTTCCAAGGAGCTGGAACTACAGGCGCTCGCTACCACGACCGGCTAATTTTTTTGATTTATTGTAGAGATGAGGTCTCACCAAGTTACCCAGGTGGGTCTCGAACCCGTG